GGTAGTGCACATCAACTATCTTTTTACCAATCTTAAAACACCCCACGCCTTCCCTCCTACTGCAATATAGGAAGTCTCCACTGTGTATCTTACAACTCTCGAGTTCTATCCTTGGCTATATTCATTCATTTCTCATTTCTATTCTTAGCCATATCCATTCATTTATGTCTCTATACTCTACCCAGTAAGTTTCATCTACTCTCCCAATCTGAACTATGCAGATGATCCTGAGTCTTCATATTCATACATAACCTGACCTTTCGGGCTTTATTCAGATGTTCTAATTACTTATTAGGCTGGCTATCTGGATAATTACCATCGCCAAAACTGAAAATAATCTCCCCCAGCTATTCCTCCATAATCCTATTCATTCATTTTAAAATGTCAAGGTTACGTCTGACCTTTTCCACTTCCTCTGAGTGTGATTCATTCATTCTTTGTAACATTCCTCGCATCCTTTCTCTCCTGTTACTACAGCCACCATGCTAATTCAGGATCTTCACACTTCATATAGAAACTGGATTATCACAACATTTATGACTATTCTTCCTGTTATGAAACAGAGTAGTCTATTACCACTAAGTCATCTACCATATCACTACATATTACTATACCTATGACAATTGTGATTATGGTCCTTGACTACACGATCAACTCCAAAGTCTTTAACCTTCAGTAATTTAGCTTTGAAATTTTTCACCTTGCCTCCCCTCACACTTCTATATAAATTCCCCGTTTGGCCAATCTGCTCTATTTAACATCCAAAAAACATATTCTATGCATTTCCTGTGCCATTTCCTCCATCTGGAATACATCATGTTTCTGATTCTTTGAGGTTCATATTAAAAACTGCCCCAACTAGAAGTGTTCTCACAGAAAGTTCCAGCTGAAGGAAGATCACCTCCATCTGCAAAAAGAACTTTAAAAGATCATCTCCTCCGTCTATGAAATCAAAATGTTTAGGGAAACTGAGGCCAAAGGACAACACAAATACTTTTCTTTCTGAACATTCATTTTTCCAACATTTTTTCTTGTTTCCTATGTGCTAGTGGGAGCTGTGCTAGTTACACAGGCTTAGAGTTTTGTGAGAAAGGCTGACTACCCATAAATTATCACACAAATAATTAAATTTGGATGAGTGCTTCAAAGAAAAGGGGAAGGGCAGAGTATGTGTAATTGAGGGAAGAGGTGAGGCATAAAATTTAGTAAGGGAAGACAGGAAAGGGGTTACTTTGGTTTAAGAGCATATCTTCCCTCAGTGGGGAGAAATCTTTTAACTCATCTATGCCTAGTGTTCCATTATTGGAATGCTAAGCTTGTGGGAGTTATTTATATCCTGCTGCTCAAGGTCATTGCCAAGGTCTGATTTTTCACAAAAAAAAAATTGCAACCTCTGGTATAAATGGGTTAAGCAGGGGTGAGGGTGAAAGATGGAGTAGGAATTAACTCTGGGAAAAGGTAGATTTCTACAGGCCAAAGGAGAGCCCAGAGAAAGGCACTTTCAAGGATTTAAGGTCTGGGTGCTAGAGTAAAAGGACGGTTTCAAGAGATGCACAGGCAGGGAGGGATAAGAGCAAGCTGGGCTGTGAAAGGTCATGTTGAAGATTTCTGGACTTTTTCCTAACAGCAAACAGGCCTTGTATATCACGTTCCAAGAACTTCACGTCAGGACCATGGCTGATCCTGGCATGGGTAATAATGAGAAAAGCAATTACAAAATCAGAAAAAATTCTAGTTTTATTTCAACTGGAAAACATTTCCTATATCCCTATTACTTTTCTTTGTGTGTGTAATGTCACCCAAAATCAAGTTAAGAAAAGAAAGCATATGAATTTACAAATACAGCCATTTTCAGTTGGTCCACTTGGCTTTGATAAGAGGTCGTGTATGTATATGGAGGTATGTACACTTATAGACACTTAAGGGAGTTTTTATATTTCTTAAAAGTGAAATATTTCAAGTAATAGAAATCCTTGAAAATGACTATTATTTGAAATGAAAATGAAAAATGAAAAGCTCCATTCGTCGTTTGGCTATGCATTAGTGCTGTGCATTATTGCTACACTGTACTTGAAGTTAAATGTTCATTCTCATGCCCTTTTCCATCAGATCCTTCATAAGAGAAAATATTTAAAGAGAATACCAACACAGTTCTTCCTAGGATTATTTTAACCTCATTGCTTTTTAGTCTCATCTTGCCTATACTAAATAATGAATTCCAAAATGCAATTACAAATTTATTTCTTCTAAAATTACATTTATATCAAGGGTAAAATTTAAGGAAGATAAATGACAAAGTTATTAAAGTAAGAATGACAGCTAGAATTTTTTGAGCAACTTCTGTGTACTAGGTATTGTTTTGGGTATCTTAAAATACATTATCTCATTTAATTCTTACAAGGACTCTTGAAGGTGCATATTAATCTCTATTTCACAGATAAGGAAACTGAAGTTTAGAGAAATAAGCAAGCATTTCCCCAAATCATATACACCTTAGACCTCTGTTGTCCAATATGGCAGCCTGTGGCCACATGTGGCTACTGAGCACTTGAAATGTGACTTGTTTGAATTGAGATGTGCTACGTCAAACACATACCAAACTTCAAGGGCACAGTATAAAAAAGTAAAGTATCCTATCAATAATTTTTGAATATTGACATGTCGAAATGATTCTATTTTAAATATGGTGGGTTAAATAAAATACATTATTAAAATTAATTCCACATATTTATGTTATTTAAAAAAAATCAGCTACTAGGAATGTTAAAATTACATATGTGGCTCACGTTATATCTCTATTGAAAAGTGCTGACCTAGACCTAAAGCTGAATACTGAATTTGACAGTAGATATCAAATACTGAGAGGCCACCTGCATTCACACGTCCTCTCCATCAATGATGGGAAGCCAGATGCTGGGATTACGATGAGGTGTAAAATACCTTACTACTACCGTATTACAAAGACACATAAGTGAGGGTCCAAGAGGTTCTTACGTATACAATGGTTGAATTCTGGTGAAAGAATTTATGAACTCTACTTCAGCTGATCAATGATCTTTTTATATCAAGAACTGAGACTAGTGAGTAAAATGATATCTGGGCATGCAGAATTTTACTCTTTTTTTCCTCTGGGCCATAAGGAAAATAAATACATTGCTCCAATATACTGAGTTTAGACTAACCTATTATTATAACTGAGAAAAGTAATCTGCACTAAATTACAAGAAACTACAAAATTATGTGGACCATATTATCCAAAAATATTTTGCCATATTTGTTCCCTAGGCTTCAAGAAGTTAGCCATGGGTATGTGGCTTTATCATTGTATATCTGCATCTTCATATCTTTATGCCTGCATATCTAAATGTGAAGGGTGAGGAAGTTGGGACATTTACTTAGATTATTTTTTGACGTATGCATTTGGCCTAACATTAACATGTGGCGATGTATCAGACTACCCTGCAGTTGGTTTGGTTTGGTTTGTTTCTTTCTAATTGTGTGGTATTGGGGGAGGGGGTAATAAGGATTTAAGTCACTTAAATGTAGCCCCTTAAATGCCATCCTCATACTAAGTTTAACTTTAGGAAAATGATACTGGAGAAGTAAAAAGCTATCAAATTCGCAAATCTTAGCAGCAGAGACCACGCAAGTATCTGCTTTATTCTAGTTTGGAATTTAACACAAGGATGAATAACATGCACAATTTTAGTTCAGCTATTAAAGTGCATACTCAAGTAGTTAAGGGGGGGGGTGGAGCAATGGAGAGAGAGCCTTCTCTTTGATCTCACAGGTTGCATTAAAAACCCACTACTCGTAATGAGTTTTTGAGCATCCCCTGGGCACACATAACTTGGTCCTTGCTCTTTCAAAATGAGTGGACTCAAACTGACGTACAATGTGATTATGTCTACAGTGCACTTACAACCATCTTTCAATAAAGGTCTTCAGATTTAGGCTCTAAGTAGAATAAGGCAAGAAAAAAAGGACACTAAAATTATCAGCAGGCTTTAACTAACAACAACTGGATAAAACGGTAATATGTAATTAAATGATAATTAGAAAAATCTGCCAAAACTTTGCACTAAGATATTATCACATTTCTAATGCTTGAAATTACATGGAAAAATATACTCAGTGAATTTAAGAGAAAACAAACATTTTAAATCATTTAAGTAATCAGCCATATTTCCAAAATGTATACTTTAGAAAACAATTTATATATATATAAAGGCTTATTAACGTTAACTTTAAATTAGCTAATACTTGAGTCACACTTTTGAAGAAGCTTCTGTTTTGTTTCCAGGAACTTTTTTTTTTTTTTTGAAGCGGTTAAGGCGGCTATATTAAAAACAAAAACAAAAAACAGCTAAGCTGCATTCTTTTCCTCTTGTGAATGGCTTATTTGCACTCCTCTATGTTAATATTCTCGAAACCCCATTTAGCTTACGATGTCTTCAAAAAATTTGATAATCTGTCTTTAAAGTTTTGCTCTAAATTAGAGACTTAATTTTTGTAAAACGCCTTGGAACCATAAACCTTTAACGAGATGAGAAAGGTCTCTTTCCTCTGGACTTGACTTTACTGTATAGGTGTGTGAGCGATTTTTGCTGTCAAACATTGCCAAGGCAGACTGTTGTTGTTCAGTCTGCAAATGTCTCAACTATACCTGCACAGTTCCTCTCTTCCCAACACAAACCCATCCACTCCCTTCCCCTCTGCAAGTTTTAAACTTTGTTTCCTTGGGGGCTCTGTACAAGCAATGCTAACAACGGCCAAGAGACAAAGAGCTGTTCTGTGGGCTAACAGGATGCCAAATTTTAGTTGTGAAACAAAGCACTCGAATTTGAGATTGAGGAGGAGGAGCAGAATGACAATAGTAAAGCCTCCAGCTCGGAGCCACCCCCCAGACAGCCCCCTCCCCAGAGCCCCGCGCGGGGAGTTCTGGCCCCGGGACGGTGACTCCGGGGTGCAGCCGCCAAGCCCCCTGCGCCCTCGCTCACCGCTTCACGCGGATGATCTGGTCCCGCATGGGCTTGATGTCCTGGAAGCTCTGCTGGTTGACGAGGCTGTAGACGAGGATGAAGCCCTGGCCGTTCTTGATGTACAGGTCCCGCATGGACGCGAACTGCTCGGTGCCCGCCGTGTCCAGGATTTCCAGCACCGACGGCGACGAATCCACCTCGATCTCCTTGCGGTAGAAGTCCTCGATGGTGGGGTCGTATTTCTCGATGAAGGTACCGGTCACGAACTGCACGGTCAGGGCGGATTTGCCTACCCCGCCCGAGCCCAGCACCACCACTTTGTACTCGCGCATCGTCCCTCCGCGGCCGCCGCCGCCGCCGCCGCCCGCGACATAGACCTACGCCGGCCGCGCTGCGCCCCCAGCCCCGGCCCCGGCGGCCCGCCCAGCCGCCTCCCGCGGCCGCCCCCACCTCACAGCCGCGGCGGCCCCCTGGGCGCCGGCGGCGGCGGCGGCAGCTGAGGGAGCAGCGGCCCTAGGCATGGGCCGAGCCGGGCGGCGATGCGGCCCCGTGGGCACCGGGTGGGACTGAGGGCGAGCAGGGAGACAGAGCGTGAGCCGCCGGAGCCGCCCGAGCCGCCCGAGCCGCGGGCCCGCAGTGCCGCCCGCCCCGCCCCTCGCGCCTCCACGCCCAGATCCCCGCCCGCCGCCGCCGCCGCCGCTACCCCCAGCGCTGGAGCGCGCGCCCGAGCCCCAGCCGCAGCGCGGCCAGGGGCGGGGCCCGGCGGCCGGGGCGGAGCCCGCGGCACAGCCTCGCCCCCGTCCCCGTCGCCTAGGCGACCGGCCGCGGGCGCTCCCGAGAGGCTCTGCGCGGCTCCGAAGCTTCTGCCGTCGCGGAGATAAACAAGCACCGCGACTGCCCAGCAGCGCCGAACCCTGCGCGCCCAGTCAGACCCCAGGGCCTACGTACCGAGCATGCGCAGTTCCCGCCCGAGCTGGGAGCAGTCAACCTGAGACTCCCACGTTCAGAATTCGGCGGAGATGCGATGGTAGAGGGGCCAGAGCTACCTCCAAGCTTTACCCTGAGGCGAGGAGTGAAGGGGAGAGATGCCCAAGGCCCAAGAGGGACCGCGAGGGCCTTTGCCCGATGCCACCCAGTCTGTCAGCACTTCTAGAGCTTTGGTTTTATCTTGTATTAGCATGTGTAGCTTTAAGGGGACGGGCACCTACAGGCTTCTGCCTGAAGTTGTGTAAACGCAACAAAACGAAGCTTTCGAGTGTTAGGACATTGATAGGAGGGTGACAGCCCCCTCCGGCAGCGCGCCACAGGGGCGAGCCAGAGGCGGCCACACACCACGGAAGTTGGGTCCAAGCCTGCTGACGTCGCCAGGGTCCCGCCCACCAATCCTCTGGACCCGCCCACATTTCTTCTAGATCCGCCCCTTTCAGTGCCGAACTGCAGTCGAGCTCTGTCCACGCCCTGTCAGCCACTGGTGAATTGAAAACCTGGAGAGCGGAACCCCGACCGGCAGCCGGAAGGCCCCGGGACACCTCATAGCAACAGCCGGCTAGGGGCATCTAGTGGGAAGCTGGGATTCATTCTAGCCAACCACGTCATGTCTCTGCACCCCATGGTACCATTCACTACCAATAAGAGAGCCTCCCCATACCACGTGACTTTCCTCTTTCAACCAATCGGGAAAAAAATCTGTCGCGGGATCCGCAAGCACACCCCCCCAGTGCCTCGCCAGGCGGGGCGGTTCGCGCACGCTTTGCCAACCAATCGTAGGTGAGCTGGCGTGTGACGGAAGCTTCGACCAAGCCAACCAGAGCTCGCGAGCCCCTTGCCACAGAGGCTGGCGGGATGGAGATAGGGCCCGGCTGCGGGCGTTTGGGAGGGGCAGAGATTGAGGAGCCAGTTGCTGTGCTCTGTTCTGGCAAAAGAACAAGATGGGTTGCAAGCCAGAATGATGAATTCCACTTTTAACGTCGTCTCCGTGGCATTCTGCCTAAATGATGGGCATGGAAATGGTGCTGAGGGATGTGGGCTGAATCGAGAACACAGGGACTTTTGTCTTCAGGGTGAGAAATGTTCCGGTCCTTAAGGAGATATCGTGCAGCAATTGCATGGGTCTTCCAGGCGTTCCTCCCAGAACATTATTTTTTCTTTCACTATTAAGTTTTAAAACTTAGCGTTCTGTCGCTAGCATTACATCTTAGTTACACACCCTCTCCCACCCATAACGTCAAATTTAGGAGACGTTACATCCTCAAACATTCCTGCATTATTTTTTGCAGTTACCGGTTACTCGGTTTACTTTCTTTAAACTAGGTCCTTCTCAAACTAGTCTCATCCGTTCGTTACTGTCGCACATTTCCTGCGAATAATACATTTCTGTAGTTCTGTTGTTAAAGCCTGGCATACCTCTCCCCCGGTCCTCTTTCCCACAAGGTCATCATGCAGAGGGGATTTTGGTCTGAGTTAAAAGCCAGGTATTCTTTCACCATCTTTTCTGTCGATAGTCAAACTACTGCAAAGACTACTCAAATTTAGTAGTTTCCTATTTCCCTAGAGCTTCGTTATATTAGAATGGGTAACTTATATTTGCATTACCTTGCTATAATAAATACACACCAAGTTTTCATTTAAAATTATCAAGGACAAATGTCCTCTGAATTTAAAAATGTGTATGTAGTAAAATATAACTCAGCATTTCTTGATTACATATCATTAAAATATGAATGGTACTATCTGAGCCACCAGAATCAGCAGTGAAGGTATTATATTAATAAAAAGGACTAAGAATCAGGACTGTTTAAAGGGAATTGGAACAGAAGAGGATCTACTATTTCATGCTAGGCTAGTAATGTGAAATAGTGAAAATTGAGAGAACTTACATGGGTGCTTCATATCTGAGCTACTTTGGCAGGGATGTTTCAAGAGGATGTAGGTAAGTATGGTGTTCACCTAGCTTTCCAGAAGTCTCATATTTTGTGTAAAACTGGTATGCTTATTCATGGTTACTTTAGGTTAGTAGCAGCTATAGTTCTTTTCCAAGGAAAGACAGATTGTCTCTTTTAAGATTCTAATTGTGCATCTTGGTAATAAGAAGTTCTTAGATTTGTTCAATAGAGTCAGGAAGCATGAAGCTTTCTCTCTAGATCATGACAACCCATCTAGTACCTTGCATTACAGAGAAGTTCTAAGTCCATTTACTTTGCAAGGAATAAAGATTCAGTGATTTATGTTTTTGAGAAATTTGCTTTGGGATTGTGGGTCCAGAAGGTCGCCTAAAACAACTGTTTTCATGACTCCTAGGTCCCTAGATGTTGAGAAGCTCTGGACTGAAGCTGTCACAAAAATAGTGAGTAGTCTCCGTAGTCACTCCACTTAGCATAATAGAGAGTAGGACAGCTTTGTGACATTTCTCAGGTTATTTCCCCTGACCTCTCATCAATGCTGACGTTTTTGATAAGAAGGAGTATAGAGACTGCAGCCCTTTGGGTGGTTATAGCTCGTTTATTTACAGGCCTTATATTGACAGGCCTCAGATTTCATGCTCAGTACTATAAAGGTTGATTTTTAACCACCAAGAGGCAAAAGAAACATGACAGGTCAGAGCATATTTTCTCACCTATTCTGGCTTAAACGATGGTACTTACCTGATTTGTGGCTGTATGTGAAATGTTGGGTGAAAGATTAGCTGCTATAAAAAGGATGTCAGGACGTGTAGAGAATTTAGAGGACTTGGGGGAGAGATGGATGTCTGTTTTCTAACCCCTTAGTCATGTTCATTCTGATGCCAGCATAAACTCTATTCTGAGATGATTATAGAAATAACTTTTGTCTTCATTCGTTTGTGGGAAATAAATAAAAATGATATAAAAGAAATATGAATTATGCCCAAGAGCTGTAAATCTGTAAGACAGTGAAAACTTAACGCTGTAACTGACACTGCAGGATCCCTTTAGTTTCCGAAGTGCATTGCCAGGAGAATAAAAAGAAAGAAAATCTTCATTTCTCCTCCCTCCACTAAATCTGAGAGGGAGTTATCTCACCTATAGCCAGATACCTTCCATTATCACAGTTGTGTTACCATGGAAACCCAGGTCCATCCTTTCTTTCTGTGAAAGATGTTGGAAAAGGTGGTATGAAGTGGGAAATCCACTGTATTCTGGGACTTCCTGACACCAGCAAGAAGCAAATATGCAGAGAATTTAATAGAACCAAATTAGTAGAGGATATTTGTAATGCGAGGGGTACTTTTCAACTGTAAAACCCTGATTCCTATTGCTTCTTATTAAAGCCTGCATGCCTCTGATTAACCATAAAGGGGAAGGGCACGTCAAGTACATTTAGCACCTGTGAAACGCTGCTGGCAATTATAAGGAGAGCAGACGATGGTTTCTTGCCCTCTGAGGCTCCTAATACAGTTGAGAATCTGAAATATATATGTGGAGTGGAAAGGAAGGGGCAAAATAAACTTTGTTCTTCCTTTAAAAATGTGATATGTCTCAGTGTTTTTGAAAAGAAAAGGAATTAGAATGCAGAAATTAAGAGTATGGGAACAACTCAATAAAAGAAACTTATGGGTGGACAGAGTAGATGTTTCAAAAGGCCATTTTAATCAGAAAAAAAATCTGAAAGAAAATGCGTAATGATTAAAATGTAGGCAGAAAAAAGAAAAAGACTGAAGAATCTTAAGAGCTGGAGGATTCTGTGGAAAACAGAGCTTCAGTGTGGTTCATATAACAAAGCAGAAGAGCAGGCACAGTGTTGCTTGCGTACCCAGCAGTTTCCCTTTATTTTTGCCAAAGAAGCTGGGGTGAATCAGGATTGGACTTTAATAGCATTGCTTTCCCTCTGCCCACCGTTAGTCCAGAAGTAGGCACGTGACTCAGTTCTTGTCATCGGAATGGGGAGAAGGCTGCTGGGGCTGGAGGGATTTCTAGGATATTGACAAGAGTGAGGAAATATCCCTGTTTTCTGATGTCACTCTCCTTGCTTCCTGCTTTACACATTGAAATACGAGAATGTGGACACCATTTTGGGGCTATGATGCATTATGGCATTATGATGCAATACCGTAGAAAGCCAGCAACTTCAGATGGCCAAGGAGGAGGATGGGAAGAACCTAGGTTCTGCATGACAACTTTGGACAGTCAAACTAACATTAGAACTTCCTACCTTTGGACTTATGGCTAAGTAAACAGCTGGTGTCTTTCGATTTAAGTCTGTGTTGGTAAGGTTTTCTGCATCTTACAGTAAAATACATCCCACCTGTTACGAAAAGTGTGAGCCATTCCAGCCAAAATGGGGTTTAAAAAAATCAGCAAGCATTTGTGAGCACTTTCATTTCACTAATATCCGAATGATATTTCAAAGATACTATAATATTAATTGAGCAATTACTGTGTATATTTTTTAGGCTCTGGGGATACAACAATAAGCAATTATCCTAAAGGGCTTGTATTCTAGCAGGAGAGACAGATAGTAAGCAACCAATTACATGTTTATGTTACAAAATAATGGTTATCATTAAAACTAATAAGAAGGAAAAATCAGGAATTAGAAAAGGCATATAGTAATTATATAAATAATATTACAAAATGTATAACTAAATAGCTGAATGAAATTACAAAAACAAACACTTTCCAAGTAAATGAGAATGAAATGTATAGTTTATAGTGACATTCCCAGAGGTCGAGAGACACAGTAAATTGGAGTAGGTTAGTCCAGGAGAGTTAGTCTGAAGGAAATTAATATTGTATCAGGTTTTGAAGGAAGTGGCTAAAGGACAGGCTAGATGGGGCAGAAGAGAACACTCTAGATGTAAGGAACTGGAAGAGCAAAGGAAGAAAGCAGGAATGAAGTAAGAGCGAATAAGGGAAATACCAGAATCACTTGATTTTTAAATTCCCTGTAGCAACAGCATTCTAGGGGCATCTCTCAGAGAAAAAGAAAGATGCCAGAAGTCTCAAAGCAAGATTATTTAAAAGTATAAAAATAATATAGGAGAAAAATACAGAAGACAAAGTAGGAGTACAAGAGTGCATTTGAAATTAAGGCGTCATTCAAAATAATGAATAATTTATAATGTGGGCGTCAAAAGAGTTGTCATAAGAAGTAATTATGGATTTAAGGGCATCAAGAAGGAGGGATTCAAACTTTCACAAATAGAAATAGAAGGAAATATGAGGAGTGGCAAAAAATAAGGACAGGTAGAAAAACAGTTTTGGCTTGTGGTTATTTTTCCATGGTAGCTGTTATTGACATGCATTATGTAGAAATGAATGGAATTTGATTGAAAAGAAAAATTTCAATAGAACGGTAATACATAAAGATAGTCTTTTTGGTAACTAGTGTAATTTAAAATGTTTTCAGTAGAATGCCTTTTTTGTACCTTGCTGTAGGAAAATCTTTTCAACAAAAAAAGCTGTAAGTAATAATAAGTTACAGATTAGCAAAGCATTTTGGAAATAAAAAAACCCATAGATGTGCCAAATGTAATAGTAGAGCAACAATAATAAATATTTGTAATAAAAATCAGAACTTTTTAGGCATTATGTGGTTTCTGGTCAAACATGGTTGTAGTACTAATTTTTCTAATGCTATTTTCTGTACAAATATAAGAATTTTTTAAATTAAGCTATGGTAGATATATGAACACATCTTGGTATTATTGGAGGTAGGATTTACCACTCACTTTTTGTGACCCCAAGTGTAACCCTGAACAGACTTCTGCCTTAACACCAATAGCACGTGATTGTGCTGTCTTCTCCAGTGACTGGGGAAAGGGACAGAGCTTTGTTCATTTTTGTTTTACCAGCATTCAGCACATTGCCTAAAAACAATTGTGGGAATTCATAAAATGTTTGTAAATAAATGAGCAACTGAGTGGACTATAATGTTGCTTCTAAAAACCCTGGGTTTTGAACACAGAGAAGATAAGAATAAAAGGAAAGGAATAAGGATTTTCCCTAAATCAAGGTGAGGTTGATATAAGTGTCCTCTAAAGTTGGTCTAATCTCCAAAGAAACTTGTATCTCAAAAACACTAAGTCTGCAACAGGCAAGGTCAATGGCAGTTTGTAGACCTGGAATTTAGTAGTGCCAGGAAAGATCTGAAAAATCATGTCTTCTATCAACTGACTGTTGTCTGAAATTCTGCACTTAGGGTTTGGTCTTTTGATGTAAAAGTTATTTTTTTCCAATTAAAATGTAAGTGGGAGATATACAGTTAAATTTCACAGTCTGTCAACTTTGGGCATGGAATTATGCTTACCTGGATGAAAAAGAAAATGAAGAAAGTAAACTAGAAGAAAATAGTTTAAATTGGGGGATAAGTCATGGCATGAGTATGTGCCCAGAGCGAGTATAAGGAGGCCATAAGTAAATCCACTTATTTTGTCATACACTTACTAATTTTTTTCAGTAAGGTTAATCACTCCACATGGCGTAACATGAAAAATAACAGCCTTTACAATTACTAGATTCTTAAACTCATTTCAAGAATTTAACTCATTTTAAATTTTTATGAGATTATAAGAAGTTTTTAAACTTTGAAGCTGCATCCCTTCTCTGATTCCCTCCATTTCTCCTCTGCTTCTCACATTATTGTGTTCAGCAATGGTTTGGAGGCATCTTGGGGAAGACAGAGCAGAGTTATGGTGGAAGTACCATCTAACTCTTCTCAGCAGCCATCCAGTTATCTTGTTGAGGGAAGTTATTCATCCTGCTCTCTAGAATTATCACCTCAAAAATCAGTTTCCTGCTTTTCACAGAACAGTACACCATCTTTTACTATTATCCTAATTAATATTTCTCACACAGCCTTACAAAATATTAGTCACTTAATGAATTATTAACCACATTCATTGGGCTGCACTAGTTGAAAAATATGTCTTGTTTACTTAGTCAGAGCGCTATCTCTGTGCAATGGCATTGATGGTGAAATTGATCAGAGTCTACATTTGAATGAGAGAAGCTGAGGGAGACATTTCAGAAATAGTAAGCCTTATTTTCCTTGGTGTACCAGGTAGTCAAGGAAAGTTAAAGTATTTTCTTATACTTTGTCTTGATTACATTCTTTTGGGGACTGGTCTCTGGTGTTTATTAGGTTTTTAAGATTTTGGCCATTTTCCATGCAAACTAATGTTTCCAATGAAAAGATACAACAATGCGTGTTAATTGCATAAGAAATATTAATCTGTTAATGTAATTAAATTATATAAGCAACAATTAGTTTCAAAGCTGGAATGGATTAAGTCAGTTCTATACTACACACTGACAAAGTGAAAGGAACTCAAATGGACAAATTGTGGTGCTGTAAGGTTATGATTCTTAAGATTTTTATATTAATGTT